TAGTGCGCGGACTGCGCTCTCGTCGGCTCGATCGATATCTGTACTAGTTCTACGAGTACGAGTTTGGTGCTCATCAGAGGCACTGGCAGTGTGTCCGTGCTGGTCTGCACTTTTGCTGGGCTGGCTGTGTTCAGTGACTTCCTGTGCGGGTGAGCTGGCAGAGGTCACAGGGGACGCTACCTGTGCGTACAGTAAGCTGACCTGGCCTGTGGAGGCTGTCGGATCTGGTGCTGGATCGTCGTTTTGGGTCTGTGTGTTGCTTGTTTCGGTGATTTCCTGTACGAGTGTGCTGGCAGGGGCCGGGGTCGCTGCCTGTGCGTACGGTAAGCTGGCCTGGCCTGGCAGGGCTGTCGCCAGTGCTGGATCTGGTGCTGGGTCTTCGTTTTGGTTCTGCCGCGTGTTGGTTGAAGTGCGGGTCCGTGTGTTTTGTAGCTTGTTCGATTTAGGGCAGGAGCCGGCAAGGTGATTTTCTGAGTTGCAGAGGCGGCAAGTTGGCGCCTGGCCCTCATGCTTCACGCGGAAGGTATTGCCTTCGGCTGTCCGCACGAAAGATGGCACCTGCCTGCAGCCGTTGTTCAGGCGAACAGTTGCGAAGCGTACGCCTGTTCCTACAAATGCGCCCGACTTTGTGCGGGTATGGCCGTGGCGAATGGTGCCTTGCACCGTACCGTATTTTGTGAGTGCATGTATGATGGCGGCATCGGAGATCCAAATCGGGACGTCAAAGATGTGCACTTGCAAGGAGAGAGAATGGCGGACAGAAATATGTGTTTCGCCAAGAAAGAAACCGTGTTCTGCAATGGACTTAGTTGTAGATTGGCTGCAGAACGTTACCTTACAGGCTGATCCGGTAATTTGGACGGAGGCGACGTCAGCATAACCCTGGTCGATGAGGGTGTCCGCAATTTCTACTATCTTCTGGCCTGCGAGGCCGTCGACAAATATTACGGTATTGGCCTTCAATTCGGCCGGCGACATCGACCTCCACAGTGGCTCTGGGGGCTCAGGCTTTGGGCTGCCTAGCGCTGGGGAGTCATCCATGCTAGATAGGTAATACTAGTTAGAATAGCAGTGCATATATGCTTCTAGGGTGGGGACGTGGTCACGACACTCAGAGCTTCAAAACTTGCTTCTTACTCCTGGCGAGCTTTTGAGCAACGTTCCGTGGGTTGTTGTAATCATTGGACTCCTTGGCAGTGGCGCAAGACGCGAGCACATGTTCTGCGCACTGCGCATGCGCAAAATTTCATTGTCAAAATGCCTACATTGATTCAGGTCGGAACGCGATTAACTGTGCCAGTGACGACTTTTGATCATGGTTTTTACGCACACGATGAGGATCGATGGTCATTCTCCTCTTACGGAGACAGCTGGAGAAGTGCGGAGTGTTTGGGCACTGTTTTGAGTGTGACTTTTGATCGAGAACGATGCAGAATAAAGTGGGATTTGTACAGTACTACATCGATTGTAGCCGTTGCTGAAGTTCGTGCAGCTGCAGAGTCCGACCCGTGTGACGACGGAGCAAGAGGTAAGCGTAGAATTGTTCGTCCCAAGCGTTTTGAGGACAGCGACAGCGATGTAGCCGATCAGCCTAGTAACAGTCGTACCTTTGCAAATAGTCGGAGTGTAAGTTCTGGATCTGTGCGTGCGGCACGTTCTGCTCAGCCATCCAATGTTCCATCGAGAAAACGCTGCCTCTCTCCAACTCCAGAGCCTGACCAATGCTTGTTGGACGACGACGATGATACTTCACCGTTGTCAGTATATCCGCCTTTCCAAGACCCCGTATCGACGCGGCGACAACCTGCACTAGCTGCACTCGATGGCGACGACAGCAGCTCAAGTAGATGTCGCAGTGACGACGATAGTGATTCGGATTCATCGGAATGTAGCAGTAGTGAAGGATCGAGTCTTGAAGACGCTCCCACTGTTCTTCAGGCACATGGTTTGGACTGGACATTGGGTGACGTAGTGATCGATCAGTACAAGGATATTCCGTACAAAGCGAAAGTAGATGCTGACAATTTGCACACAATGAATGAATTGGACGCCTGGATGCTGTTCTTTCCGCAGAAGGAAATGAATGAGATAGTGAAGTGCACAAATGCTCACCTGCGTGACAAGCGGAAAGCTGTAACCCGCGATGAGTTTTACAAGGTGATAGGTATCCTCTACCTGATGACGCTGTGTCCAGTACGTTGCCAACGGCGTGACCACTGGAGTGTGACCGAGGGTCTCCTTCCAGCACCAGCCTTTGGACATCGATACGGCATGGTAGCAAATCGCTTTGAGGAAATTCTTCCTGCCATGCACTTTCGCCCACCAGTCAGCGGAGACACCAGGCGCGGCTGGAAAATTGTGAGCCCCCTCTTCGACAAGTGCAATTTGAAGTGCCACACTTCAATCCGGCCCGGCCACAAATTGACGGTGGACGAGTCAATGTTTGCTTGGTACGGTCGTGGTGGTGACATTGGCGGGATGCCCACAGTCATCAAAATCAAGCGAAAGCGGAAAGGTGTGGACTGCGAAATTAGGTCCGTTGCTGATCTCCATCATGCTTGCGATGGAGATCTACCATCGCAAAGACACCATGGCTACCAAGAAGTGGCAGAAATAGTTCGGTGCCGGAACTGCCACAACTTTGCGACTGACCGATATATGGCATGGCTCTGGAAGAATCGTGTGCGGCGATTCCTGGTTTGCATCCGTCAAGACAGCAGTCGCTCTTATGAAGCATGGGCTCTTCTTTGCGGGTGTTGTCAAGACGGCGCACACAGCCTTCCCGTTGAAGCTCCTGTCCGCGATGTGTCCTTCTCCGAAAGGCCGCTTCGTGTCCGCAACCGCACAGAGGGACGGCATAGCACTGAATGCTGTTGCATGGCGCGACAGGAAGGTGCATTCGTTTGTCAGCACGTGCGCGACGACTCTTGCCGGAGATCCTGCCAAGAAAAAGCGTATGATGACAGCTTGAAACTGTACTTCAAGACAGTTGATCGACCGAAGTTGGTGGCAATGTACCACGATGGCGCGCCTTCCATTGATGTCCGCAACCACCTTCGGCAGAATGGCTTGGCTCTGGAGCAAGTGTGGCGCACGGACACCTGGCACCATCGTGTGTATGCCTCAGTGTTAGGCATCATGGAGAAAAATGCTTACCTTGCATTTTCCCATTTCTGCTGTGGCCTCGACAGGATCACCCACTCGGCATTCACCACTCGTCTTGCAGAGCAACTGATCCGCTACAACGCCCCGCAGCAGCCGCAAAGTCAAACAGGTGCTGCGGAGCCTGAAGTAGATCAGCCTGACAGCACCGAGCATCGGTTGGTATCCCTGTCCGAGGTCAGCGGCAAGCCACACACACGTAAATGTGTTGTGTGCAGGCATGTCCGCGACTTGGGCAGGAAGGCGAGCTAATACTGCTACACGTGTGGGCCGAATGCTGTGATGTGCTCTCCGGCCACGGGACGCACGTGCTTTCAATACCACATCGTCCATGGCCTGCCACACTGAGTGAACGTGTGTTCAGCCTGCTATGCTCATGCTTGCATCTATATTATTTATTTTTCATTTTAACTCCTTTTTCTACTGTTGCCATGGGCGTTGCCATGGTACCCAGCAATTCAACATTCGACACGGTCGTTATGCAATGCTTACATCAGTCAGCCTGCTATGCTCATCTTACATTATTTTATTGTTCAATATATCTTCTTTTGTTCTCCCGCTTCCATGGGCGCTACCATGGTAGCCTGCAGTAGTACTCCTCCAACCGCGTCAAAATTTTCAGAGCTTCACCCAATGGCTCTATGTAGTGTGTGGTTTCAAATTTATGGAAGACACTGGTATATAGCCAGTGTGGCATGTCTGTGTATGATGGTCCTACCGGTAGGTCCTACCGGTAGGACCAGGGTCTATGCAAGCTATCATTAAAACCTTCGTAACTCCATAATTTTTTTCAAATTCAACGATCGAAGGGTCTATCTGGTAGCGGAAACTCCAAGCTTTCCAATGCTACAATCGCCGAAGAGCTACGATGTCCTAATCCAAAGATATAGCGCGCCGCATTCTCATCTCGGTAAATTGAAATTGAAGTTTGAATCGCCTCGAAATGATTTGAGCGTTCTGCGGTAGAGGAGAGTGGAATGGTGTAGATGGGGGAATTTGCTCGCCTATCGGGCTTGGATATGACTTTCCTGTATTCCCAGTGCCTGATTTGTGGCAGCTAGTTGATGGAGCCTGGTGTCCTGGCGTTGCTATCGCCAGGTGGTTTCCAGAGCCCAAGATTGTGAAAATGGAGTGAAGCAGGCCAAAGTGATGGCTTGTGGCAGGTGAAAATTGTGCGTAAAATTCAAATTCTGCTTCATTCTGCGCTGGATATCAGTACATAAAGGGTTAAAAAAATCACACATAAGCACAACAGAGTTGACCAGGAGACATCAGCTTGAGAAGTTGAGGAGGGGGACGATGATTTCTCAGTGAGCCAGGGGCACAACACTTTGAACAACTTTCCATTTAGAAGGTGCCAAGTAATGGAAAAGCTACAACTCACAAGTACTGTACGTGTATGAAATTCACCACGGCAACACAAACAAGTCGTGTATTTAACACTTACGTGCACAGGTTAGTCCATCTCCTGTAAAACCTGGTTGACAGGTGCAAACGTGTGAGTTTCCCTTTTCAGCCTTTTTGCAGCCAGCATTCTGGTCACACTGGTGGGATCCGTCGGTACATCCATCATCTGCTGAAACAAGGCCAAGATATCAGACAGATGACGCGTAGTCTCAATGTAATTATGTACCCTCCTGAGTCAAGGGGGGATAATGCTCGAAAAGGTGGCAGATTCTGCTCGAAAAGCAGTGAAATTGGCAGAATCACACAAACCTTACAGCGGGCACTTCCTTGAATTCTGCTCCATTTCTTTATCCACATACCAAACATGCATGAAACTTACCAGAAAAGTACTGAATTCTGCCAATTTTTCTGCCGGCATTGTCCACCAAGGCCTAACCCTCCCGAATCAATGGCCTTGAAATGCAAATCTGAGAATTGATGAGAGTACCCAGTCGTAGATGTGATGTGAGTACACAGCCCTGCAACTGGTTAACAATATCCTCAATACCTGCTGGAATGTCAAACTCGACTGGGTTTGCTGCCATAAGAGGGTCACATACAATTGTCTTAATGTGGGCACAGGGTATACATGTATGTGAAATAGTAGGGTATAGAACATATTTTAATTTTCTCCCCCGCCACACAATTTTGAACTACTGATAGGGCTGAAGCACTTACAAACGCATTTAGGTAGTGATGTCAGCTTGCCCTCTGCAGTGCAGTTTGGTGATCCATCACCGAGTAGACGAAAGCCATCATCACAAGCATATCGAGCGGTATCTCCATAAAGTATACGTGATGTGTTCTTTTTTCCATTGGTAATCTTAGGTGTTCTACATTGAACAACTGCCAAACAAATTCCATAAAACCAAACACACGCTCACAATCATGTCAGGGGTTTCGGGTTCGAATCCACCTTTTGACAAGATTTTTCCTCTTCTTTTTTCGCTTCTTCTTACCTTCATCTTGTGATTATTTCTTCACAGCTAGCATAGTAAGATGGGACGAGTAGCCTTTTTCTTTTTTTAATTCCATCTGTGTGACGGGCGGCGTTGACAGATATTTTCGGAATTTTTATGTTTTCACCCTGAGAATGGGCCATGCCCGCGCAGTTTGGTGAATGTAATGATTTATTTATTTTGAAAGATGTGTGCAGGGAAGAGACCGTATCTGGAAAGTTCCAGTTGAGGTAGGAGTGGCTGCAATGGAGTCTGCGAGTTCTTGAAAAGTTTGTACTTAAAGTACCATAATTTGGCTAATGCTCAATCTCATGTTTGAGTCTAGGGTTGAGGGACAGTTAATGAGTAAGTTATGGAGCCAGTGTAACTTATGTATCTGCTAATAGTTGGGTAATTATGTAGAAGTAGAAAAGAGGACCCAAGAGCTACAAGTTATGCTATAATATCCACTAACACCACTAGTTACTTTACAATCAGCTCATGCAATAACATTGCATGACACTTGCCAACGGCACGGACGTTCTATCAGCTCTAGCAAATCTTGGATGCGCACTCCAACAGCCTTCGAGCTTGGAAGGTTCTTAGTTATAGAAATAACTCAAAGTCTCAGTTCTGAAGGATTCTGTCGGATGTACATGTATGTCGAGGACCCGAGTGTAACTGTGGAAGGAGCCTGGTATCTTCCATTCTTAGAAGGTTTCATTTCAAAATTTGCACAGGCAAAATCTGCTTTCACACAGGGCATGTTTCCACACTTCTCTCGAAATGATGAAGATAGTGATAAAAGGAAAAAGGAAAAGGATAGCTCGTGCATATCTTTGTGGCGCATCCCCTGCCCTCATTAGAACTTCCCGCACGTGAGATAGCAAACGCCCAATTTAGGAAATTTTATGAAAAAAATGATCACAGATATAGATATAGATGGTGGCCAAATGGTTTTTGAAACCAGAGGTCTGGACTTTAGAAACACACTATAGTACGGAAACAACTGACATCTGGTGCCGAAACAGCATCAGTCCCATGCAAATTTTGTTCTGCCCAACGTAATTCTACCTAACGTCAACATCGACATAACGCTCGCTACGGCGCGGTCCCCGATGTGTGCACTCTCGAAGCAACGCAGCTTCTTGTGTGCGGTACGATCAAGCTGTAGCTTTACCTAGCCAGTTTAGGCCAGTTTAGTCCTATATAACCTAAACATCGACATAACGCATGCTTCGATGGAGTCCCCGACGTGCGCACTCCCGATACAACGTAGATTCACGTGCGCAGTACGATCAAGCTGTAGCTGTAGCTAACCAGTTTAGTCTTACCGTGCATATATTCTGCGGCATCGATTGCATCTGATGTCGATGGTGGTACAGTGTGGACATGTTTTCATGGTTAAATCCGCCTTGTAATTCCCTTCAGTTTTAGGTACATCTTTTATTTTACAGACAGTTTTCTACATAACATAACTCTTGATGGTGTTTGCGAGGTCCCAGAGATTACGTTATATAGAGAGTAGACCTGAACTACGACTTCAGCATTTGCTTCTGAGCTTTTCTGATGTAAAATGATGTAAAATATTCCACGCAATGGGCTTATCCCTGCCCAGGAGGGTAACAATATACTAAGCAGCGACTGTCTAACTAATTAATTTTGACAGCAATATGATGGGAGGTGCATGTGCAGAAGAAACTTAAAAACATCGTCAATCTCGCATTCAGCGTAATGATGTTGCTTACCACCACAACCACCATAATCCTGTCTTCCAGTGCCTTCAAAACCTTCCGGGCAAACACACTCGTAACTTCCAGCCGTGTTAATACATGAACCCCTCGAACGTATACAGTCGTTCACATCTAAACTGCATTCGTCCATATCTGAAACCACACATCAGCAAAACAAACTGTATGTAGGACTCTGGTGGTAGGTCAGCAACTTTGCATGCACAACACTTGGGACTGTAATAATTTCATAGACGCTCTCAAGGTATTAGGAAATTAGCCCTTTACTGTCCGATTAAAATGTATACAAGCCCACGCAACCACAACATCTGAAACTAGAATTAGACGTAACTTTGGTTTGAATTTGACAATTTCCACGATCTTGGGCATCCTGGAAAGGTCTTGATGAGACGAACGCAATTAACACTCGGCGCCACAGGATGCACTGGACCAGCGCTGAAAGCCAGGGAACGCGCACTAGCGCTGAGCTCATGCTCGAAATCGATCTCAATCCACCATGTCACCCCTGTTGCTCGTATCGAGCTCAAATATTTTCGTAGAGACTACCGGGAACCTACTTTTGAATTTGAATCGGTGTCGTCTTGCCAACAGGTGACGTAAACAGGGAAAATCCCAGCCGTCGACATGCGTGTCGCGCTCTAAACGCGCATTTCCCGGGACCAGAATTACGAGTGCGATAACTCAGCAACCGCTCTTTGTATCGCTTCGGGAATTGTTCGAGGCGACAGCTGAGACTTTTCTCTTCGACCTACATATTTCGATCTCTCCAAAAGATTTGAGCAAGTTGCGATAATTTCAAAATGCCTACCCCATCGATCCCATTGGATCGATGCTTGTATGTACGGACAGTAAAGGGTTAAAGGCCACATGCCACGTACTGCTCTTTTCTCTCCGAAACTCAACACTTGCAAGCCAGATATGAAAGAAAGAAAAGTACGAGGCATGTGGCCTCTAATTTGCTAAAACTTTAAAATTCTCCGTGAAGTCCAAATTTGAAATTGCTCTCAAGGTAGCTACACATAGAGAATTGAAAACGGCCTTGTACCACTGTTTATGCTTGTACTCGTGTAGTCTTGTCTACCGGTGACACATTTTCTCTACTTGAGGCCAGAAGGGAAGAAAACACAAAGATAATGATGCATATCAGCTAGGTAAACACTTTAACATTCAGATAGGCGCGAGTCAGCGCAAGTACAGGTGGTGCCATGCAATGATAGTACATGAACTTGGCCAAAGCTAAATTGCGCTACCAAAGAGCTTTCTTCTTTTTTCATTAACTCCACTCTAAACTTTCACAGTTCATAATACATAACAATGCATTTGCTAAAATAAACTGTTCTCTGCATTTTGTTTATAATTGATGCAACGTTTCGTGATGAGCGTTTCACGGAGACTCCCATTCTGAAAATACTTTATCAAGTAACTATAATGGTCTGTAACCATTTTTCCACAGTGTCTCAGATACAACCTTCATTGCTCTAATGTAGGCGTTTCATTTTTGACCAAACCGTACACTACCCTAGCATACACTGAAAATTGGTCACCAAAGAGAGTGAAATATTTGTCTACTTCCTACCTAGACAGTTATCGCCTGTGTAGCCAGCCGAACACTGGCATAGATAGGAGCCTGCTGTGTTGGTGCATGAGCTGCGGCCTTGTGGACAGCTGTGGCCACCGCCAGTTACACATTCGTTCACATCGAGGCAGTTGCCATTGCTCTCCGTGAAACCAGCGCGACATGAACAGGTGAAGCCATCTCCAGGCAGCGGGATATCAGTACACGTGTGTAGTGAACTAGAACATGGTGATGTAATACAGCTGTCCAGATCCTCGTCACAGTTAGAACCAGTGCGACCTATAGAAAGGCATGTATACAGAACATGTTATCAGTTAGCAGTTTGCAAAGATACAAGAAAAAGTCAAAATAAATATCAGCTACTTCCTCAGTTACGCAAAACTTTGTTGCGTTTTTTGTGTTCTTGTCATGAAATTTCTGAAATCCTTGAAAAATTGTCTTCATATAATTTTTCATTTTCTTTTTTTGGTCCTTTCTGTCTTATATTATTATCATTTCTTGTTTTCCCTTGCATATCATCCCTTCATCATTCTGTGAGAACCTGTCCTATGGGCAGGTGAGAAAGCATCTCTGCCTGTTCATTTGGTGAAGTAAAATAAACAACAAGCATAACCGTTTTTTGACAGGATGTCAGCAGAACACACCGACGATGAAGTGCGAAAATGAGAAGCAGTTTGAAAGACCGTGTGGCTCGAAGTGCCCAGAATTCATGCAGAAAAAGGCCAGCCACTGCTGTACCAGCACAATGGTACGCGTCCGCACATAGCCAAAATATCTTCATGCAAACGACACCAGGAGATTCCCGTGCAAACTTGTAGTGCTGGAAAGTTGTTATGCATGGAATCGGCGTGAACATCTTGTCCAGGTGTTTATCCCTCGCGTACCAGGTCCAGGTGTAGTGTTCTGCTAAGTTGCCTTTGCAGGAGGACTCCACTGCTTGGACGACATCTGCCATCGAATCAACTTTGGAGGCTCGGAATTTCTGCTTCAAACAGCCGAACTTGGAGTCAACACTACATCTAATGTGACCAACTCGCATGAAAGAAATTTGAATGCTTGTATTTAGGCCTGATAGCACATGCCAGCTGAAGTATGCCATGACTGATCGGTTCTTGTTCTGCCCAACGCAGTTATCAGCATGAAACATCAAGGATGGCTCCTTGGAACGCTTCTCCAAAAAATGGTGGAGCATGCTCATAACCGCATTGGGACCATGAGCAAGCCGTCCATCACAGCCAATGCTCTCTGCTTCATTGAACACGTAATTTACTTGCAGATTGCGTGCCTCATCACAAATTCCAAACTTTAATAGTTGTATATTAAATCTGGACTTGAAATACAATGGGCCCACCTAGCAAGTGTGCTGAGGTAGCTCAAGCTGTTGGACGAAGTCAAAAGTGATGTGGGTAGAAGATGCCTGTGCATCTGTATCCGTTGTTCGGCTTAGCTCATCCCTGGCATCACTTATTGATTTGTTGTAGTACTGCCGTTCATCATCAGCCTCCTGCATGTGAGCTGAAAGTTGCTCAATGGCCAGGTGGGTGGTCTCCTCTGTCTTCGCAGGCCTGACATTCGCAGCCGCTCACAGCGTGCGCAAACATCAGATCTCTGCTTCATGATGCATATATCTGGAGTATTAGCTTTCCAAAGCCGTTTGAACGTGGTCAGACTAATAGGACGCGCACCTTCAGAATCACAGTATAGACAATGAATTTCTTTCTTTGTGCAACTAGCAGGAAGATATGTGGGCGCCTTTGCTGCGCGTCCCCTGGGTGCTGCTGGTTGTGGCATTCCATAACGAGATGCATAGTTTTGATAAACTGCACAACATTGTCTGCCACTGCAGTAGGTAAGATGTTGGGCGGGGTTTGCCCTTACTCTTGCTGCTCTGTGGCGTTGTAAGTAGATGTTCAGCGTCTTCTTGTAATTTACGTCGTAGAGTATGCGACAATCCATGTGCACCTTGGAACACTTCACGGCAGACGACAACACCAAGCATTGCATATGTGAACGAAAATTTGCGAGAACTTGCCGTTGCAGCTCCAGCGCTGGGGCTAGATAATTTCATTATTGCTGCAAGTTCGCCCAGCACGTACCGCTTCAGCACACTCCTCTTCATTGCTCTCAAGTTACATACCAGTTCCTCAAGTTGGTCCGGAGGTAGCTTGGTCCAATGATTCACTTTGCATTTGCAACCGATGTCCAGTGCGTCGCGTATCATCGCCGCTGCAGCTCCACTTGCTGCACTCGTTCCATCGCTAGTGGTATCCTCTGCATTGCTGAAATACTTGTCATCGCTGCTCTGCGACTCCAGCGATAAACAAGTCAACCTTTCTGCAGGTGTGTCCGAATCTGAGTCGTCTGAGCCAGACGATTCGGCGTTCGTATCACTGCTGTTTAGGCCGTAAAAACTTTCGTCATGTTCCCGTAGCGCAGCGAGGTCGTCAACGCTTGCACCGCAAATTTGTAGGCTTCGTCTTCTACTCGTGCATGCCATGACACTCTGTGGCTTCTCTACTTTCAGTACGCGTCTTGCATGCACTCACACTTGTTGAAAGATGAAGTTGCGCCACTTGATACCTTTTCAAGATGAAAACAAATAATCTTGAAGCGATCCTCATCAAGGAGACAACTCGTAAAAAGTACAATATCACCTGAGCTCAAAAATATTTTTCTTCAATTCCGAACTTCAAACTCCCATTCTGAACAATTTCCGTAATTTTCTACCGTACCTTTTTTGCTGGCCGCGGCTCATATGCTGTTTAGAATATATAGTTGTCCTCGTGCCGTGTGGTCGTTCGTTTCTGACACTTTAGAGAGAACCAGAGGGTTCACAACAGGGAGCGCAAAAGAGTGGATGAGTTACACTTAGGGAGTAAGAGCGAGTTTCTAGTTCTTAGAGAAGAGAACCAATTAAAACACATGAGATGAGGTGGGCACAACTCAAGCTTAACAGAATGGACATGCGTCTATGTGATAACAGGGTTGTGTGAGCGATTTTATAAAGGGCGGACGATGAGAGCATGCGGGGTTGACGGAGGAGGATTTTAAGGATTTTCTTGTGGTGTTTTTCAAGCTTTGTAGCAGCGAAAGAGGATAATCCAACCCAAGACGTATCGGCATAATCAAATATTGGGCGAAGGTAGGCTAAATAAAAAAGAAGCTTGCAAGAACATGGGAGGTAGGAGCAGTGGTGGGAGAGGATTCCTAAGGATTTACTTGATTTTTTACAGATATATTCGATATGGGGTACCCAGGAGAGCGCAGAGTCAATCACAATGCCAAGGTGTTTGCGAGAAGACACTATGTCAATTGGATTTGGAAAGTTGGCATGGATGAATGAGGGTAGTGAACTCCGCCTGGGGCGGGAAGAGCATGATCTTTGTTTTTGATAGATTTGGGGATAACCTTCAGGACGACATCCAGGAAAGAACTTCCTGAATGCCAGCATACAAGTTGTTTTTCAGGCCAGTGGGAGCTGATGAGGTGAGAAGGGTCTTGTCGTCAGCAAACAGAGACGTTCTGCAGGTAAGTCGTTTACGTATATTATAAATAGTAGGGGACCAAGAATTGATCCTTGAGGAACGCCTGACAATCCTGGCTCTGCAGCCGAGGATGTGCCAAGCACAGTTACGTACTGATAACGCCGAGAGATAAGATGTTCAACCAGGAGAGTGGTTGTTTGCGTACCCTGAATGCATGATCGACGTTAAAGCTACTTCTGAAGTAATTGTAAAAAGAGAAGAAGACACCTGAATACGAGTTATGCAGCAAAGTCTCAGTAGCCTGTCAGTTTTGTGCCCTATTACCGCACCTTCTGACTGTTTATCATCTTCTTACAGTCGTGGATAGTATTTGCGGCATAACTCGTTCTCATGTTTTTCTTCCCTATTTTACATTTATTACTGGCATACTTGCCAACCCAGCCAACGCAAATCCCTTAGTTACATACCCAGTTTCCTTCGATTTTCTATTTTCCTGGTTTTCGCCAATTTCCGCCGGTTTTCTCCTTTGTTGGACAATTTTTGATTATTTTTGCGTCTTTTTCCGCAATGTTTTGGCAATTTTTTCTTTCTTTTTATAATTTATTCATTTGTAACCCATTGCTCATTGGGGGATCAAAATCTCCGGTATGAGTGTAGTGAGTGTAGTTTCCCGGTATAATACAAGGAAAATCGGTATGTTTGGAAAGTATGTGCTGGCTCAGTATCTGAGTTAAATTTTAGCTAATTAGTTATAATAATGATGATATTGCATCTCATCGCATATTGTCTATAGCTGTCTAATGGTGTCCAGATCTTGTGGGAGTCTGTAGGACGAAATAACTCGTCCTTGGCACTGAAAATGTTAACTCAGATCCCGTCATCATATTCACTGCGAAACAATCAATCTTTGCAATGGAATTGCCCAAGTCATTCCTCGAACACGGAAGTCAAATTCATGATTTACACTTACCAGCTTCACAAGAGGCACAGCCCAGTTGAGTGAAGGGTTCTGTCAGAGAAATGGACGTAAGTGGCTGACAAGTTCCATAGCAGCTGCACAGAGCAACTGGAATTGTCATGGTAGCGATGTCACCATTGCTGTCGGCTGCTGTCACATGTAGTGACACACTGCCATTGAGATGCCTCTCAGTAGGAGTCCATGACAAGACCAGTGAACTGGGGGATACTCTCTGAGCAGACACGGTGATACCATTAGCTGTGTAATTGATGCTCATGATCGTCAACCCAGCTCTTGGAGATGCGACAACAGTAACTGTGCTAGCTGCTTGATATGTACCATGCAAGGCAGTTTGACTCATTGAGATTGTTGGTGGAGTACGAGCTGCCCATAGAAACATGTAAATAAATACACATGTTCATGTGCAACCAAATACCTACTGCAAATACTTACTGCAAATACTTACAGCAAATACTTACTGCAAATACTTACTGCAAATACTTACTGCAAATACTTACTGCAAATACTTACTGCAAATATTTACTGCAAATACTTACTGCATGCGCATGTACACCAAAAACAAGAAATAAATGGACCAAACCACGCATACACATGTATACGCACACACACACACACACACAGGGACAGACAGACACACACACACACAAACACACACACACACAAACACACACACATACACACACATACACTAACACACACATATACACACATACACACACACACACACACACACACACACACAAACACATGCACACACACACATGCACACACACACACATACACACACACACACACACACACACACACATACACAAACACAAATACAGACAAGCACACACACACACACACGTTTACACACAGATTCACACTTACACACACAAACATGGTTGCCCACAATGACACACACAAAACAGACCGCCACTCAAACAAAGGCAGAAGAGAACAGAGACAACCGCCTGGTTCTTTATTGTAAAAAAAATAGAAAAAGAAAATTATCGTGTCCGTTCCCGAAGGGAACTCACGACGTCCGCTAACACCCGATAAACCCTAGCGGCAGATGCAGCACCTAACGGTGGGGGTGAGCGGGTAAGTCTCACAACCACTGGCACAAGTGCCGAAAACGACCCCATTAGCTGCATCCATGTACCCCTTGTGCCTGGCCACAAGTTCCCAGTTGACTGTGGGTAGCAGCACGGCTGGAAAAACCGCTCCCAGGCAGGACTTGAACCAGGTGCCTCTCGTATCTCAATCATGGTCTTTGACCAACCCACTGTGCCTGCCTGGTTCTTTATTGTAACACTGTGCAAAAGCTAAGGCAATCCTCAGGCAACGGATATCCTCTACATCATCTGGGTCCTATGAACTCCGAGCACAAAACTAAAACCGTATGTTAACTAGATACGAATACCTACCGACAGTATTGGTGCTCATGTTGAGGTCTCGTTTGGATGCTAGTGTGCTCTTAGCCAAGTTAATGTCACTAGAAAGTATATAATCAGCAATGCAGGTGGCATCGTCGTCACATCCATCCACCATTACCCTTGTGTCCACAATGCCAGTTGTGGGTGGATTGATAGGGTTGTAAGTTCTGAAACTTTCCTGTGAGGAGTATGAGAAGGGGCTAGTGCTCTCGTTGACTTGATCTGTGCAGACGGGACATTGCAACGTCAGGTTAAGCAAACAAACAAGCCAATATACACACATCGATACAGACATATCTTCTGCGGATCGGCGCTATGCCATAAAATGCACAGTAACAAGTCTTTAGTTGCATCTCAGTGCCATATTGAAGGTCGCAGTGAGGGGTTGGGGGTGGTTAAGGTCGTAGGAGGGAGGTTGTGTGTGTGGGGGGGGGGGGGGCGTGTTAGTTGGGAGGGGGGGGGGGGCAGGGTGTTTGTGGGGGGAGGGGGTGGTAGCCATAAAAGACACCCTCTGTGAGATAGCCGCTTTTAATTTGACAGTTTGACAAAGTTTCACAACGGATGAGTTGTTGCAAACCATGGAAATCGTTCTTAGATATCATCCCCATGCATGGGATCTGTAGGATAGCCATCAATGGTCCAGATGTACTACAGATCTCACGTGTCGAAGTTTCATACCTTGTGAAGCAGTTAACTGTGTGAAAACAGGAGGCACCCACAGTCACCAAAACTGCCTATTGGAGAGATAATTATGGTCAAAAAGAAAGTAGTTGCCCAACAAATAGCTTACACTCATTTCCTTCAAGTATTAGTTCGGTGATGTTTTGCAAGATATCTACACCGTTGTCGCGGTCTACGTTGAGAAGACCAATCACCTGGGAATTCTCTGGCACTGCAGAAGGTAAAGAATAACAAGAAGCAAACCCTTAAGAGAGCATGTCTGAGAATGCCAAAGTATGTGAGCAAGTGGATCCCACCGATTTCGCTCAAAATTTGCAGGTATGTTCCCTTTGGGGTGTGGATCGATTGTGCAAACCCCTTGAAAATGTGTCCGAAGGGAACCGTGAAACTTGCCTACCCGTCACAAATGGCCGAAATATCACAATATGTGTCTACAAACGAGTCACGCGAGAGCGTAAACGAACAAGCTACGAACAAAACTCCATCGAGCCAACATTGCCTCAACTTAGAAGAGTTCCTGGAGCAGTAGCGCTTAGGCACGCAAGGATCCCAGGAGACGAGGGCCATCACCCCCTGACGCCACAAATGATTGTCTTGAAAATAGCTAAATTACAAGCCTTGGCAAAACAGCCAGCTACGTCCTCAATTGGCAAGAACTATACACCGGCAGATAGTAGAACACCTCTTCTAGCGCTGAGCACATGTCCCCATCTTCCTTTTGAGGTTTTCTTGAAATAAACTTTTTGGAATTTTTCCATTCGACCATGCTGAAATACGGCCAAAGTCATACCTGGCCAGGAAAGCTTGCCCCTCCGCGATGTCTCCCCAGCAATTTCTACTCAAACACTACGCTCAGTGCAGCAGAACAAAGTGCATTGTTGACTCTGACAAGGAGAACCAGCCGTGATCACTAAGTCTTGTCGCTCCAAACGACAAGCTTCTCCTTGCGCCATCAACAATTTTTCGTGCCACTGTTGATGCAAAAGTGACTGAAGTTCTGAACACAGTTTTTGAATTTTATTGCAAGATGCACGGTGAAATCATTAAATTTTTTATTTTAGTTGCTGGAGCTCCTGAATAATTTTCTTGCTAGAGAGTCGGGCAAATGGAGAGAGCTAGTAGAGAGTTCAACTCTTGAAGAGGTTTTACACGTGGAGTCAACGGCTGGACGTCGGCAAGGAGAGAGCGAGTAGAAGGTGCAACTTTCAAAAGGGTCCCTCCACCGTCACTATGTAGGTGAGGGGATAGGCGCCGCCGAGGTAGAACTAAGCCTGCTGAATGTTCCGGAGCAAGGCGGACGAGCGACGAAAATGAGGGAAAAAAATTCAGTTGTGTTCTAGTGAATTTATTTGTAGAACTTGGAATGTTCGTACATTATACGCTGGTGGAAAGCAGAAGCAGTTGACCCACGAGATGAATCGTTATCGCTGGAACATCCTTGGACTGGCTGAGACACATTTGTCAGGGATGGGAGACTTCACCACCGATGACAAGCATGAGCAAGGTGTTGGATTCGTGGTGTACAGGGACTACCGGAAATCTGTTGTGGACTGCTGGCCTGTATCTAGCCGAGTGATTTGCATTCGCCTTGCTGCAGCCCCCCTGAATGTCAGTATCATCCAAGTGTATTCTCCAACTACATCACACGATGATGATGACACAGAGGCATTTCATGGCGATTTGGAGAAAGTATTACAGAAAGTTCCTAAAAAAGATGTCTTGGTAGTACAGGGAGACTGGAATGCCAAAGTTGGGGCGGAAGCATTCCCTGATTGGATTGGCACTGCTGGTCTCTAAGGTTATGGCCGTACCAATGATAGGGGTCTGCGTCTACTGGAGTTTTCCAAACTGAATAACCTCATCCTGGCCAACACCATGTATCCTCATAAACCATCAAGACAAACTACATGGCATTCAGCTGATGGGAGAACACACAACCAGATCGACTACATTCTAGTAAGCAGTCGTTTCAAGTCCAGTGTCGTGCAACGTCTCACGCGCGTGTATCCGGGCGCTGACATCGCTAGTGACCACGACTTGTCTGAAGTTGCGTGCACACAAGAAGAAAGCTTTGGTGGAAGCGAGATATGATGTTAATAAACTGAAAAAACGATGCTGTGCGCGCCGCTCAAGCGGAAATCGGCGGTCGGTTTGGCAATCTTGCGGACAGGGACATGGATGTTCAGGAGTAAACGGATGAATTCACCAAGACGATACATGATGCTGCCCGCACACATCTAGGGAATCGCAAGAAGAAAATTAAAGAATTGATGACCGACGCTGTAAAGCAGCTATGTGATGCAAGACGAGTGAAGAACTCGACCCGATACGAAAGTGATGCCTCCATGGCAGAATATACGCCAGGCATGCCGTGCAGGGAAGCTACCGACCCGGAAAGCCAAAGCAGAGTGGGTTGAAGGACCATGCAAGGAGATAGAGTGCGACCTTAAATTTAAGAACATAAAGAAAGCCTACGAAACAATCAGTAAGCTGACAACGAAGCCCACTGTCAAGTCTCATGTCATTGAGAACAAGGACGGAGAGCTACTTACGGAAAGCAAGAAAGTAGCCGACCGCTGGGCGCAGTATTGCTCCGACCTGTATACCTACAACATCAACCCTGCCATGGAGGTACTGGATGATCTCAAGCTAGGAATGCCACTCAACGATGATGACAGAGATCTATCGATAATCAAGGAGGACGTAGCTGCTCTTGTAGATAACTTGAAGGCAGGCAAGTCTACCGGCGATTGCATGATCCCAGGAGAGTTACTCAAAGAGAGTGGCGTCATTGACATATTGACAACCATCTGAAACAAGATATGGTCGTCCGGCACATGGCCACGGTCGGTGAATCATGATTCCACTACCAAAGAAAGGCAACTTCCGAAAGTGCACGAACTATCGCACCATCTCGTTGATAAGTCCCCCTAGTAAAGTAATGCTGCGTGTTCTACTCAACCGTCTCACACCTTGCATCGAAGATCTACTGAGCAAAGAGCAGGCTGGGTTTCGAGCAGGGAGTAGTACTGTGGATCAGATATTCAACATCCATACACTGGCAGATATGGTGACCATCAGAGACCCATCTATACCAATTTCATCGATTTTCGCAAGGCATTTGACAGTGTGTAGCACGCAGCCCTGTGGAAGATAATGCGCAAGTGTGAGCTTAGCCCGACTGTCCTCACACTGATTGAGTCCCTGTACCAGCAGTCCGAGAATGCTGTAAGAGTAGGAACAACGGTTAGCAGTTGGTTCCATGCCACCGTTGCCGTTAGGAAAGGTTGCATTCTGTCACCCTCTCTATTCAACATTTTCATGGAAGAACTGGTATCTAGGTCATTAGAGGGATGCGCGGGTTCCATTAGCATTGGTGGACGCATTATAACAGACCTGCGATTTGCAGATGACATTGATCTGGTGGCTGGCAGCGAGGAAGAACTGCAAGACCTTACTGGCCGGCTGGCCAGCACATCAAAATCATACGGCATGAAAATCAGCACTGAGAAGAGTAAGCTGCTGGTAACGGGAGCAAGCAAAGGTCTGTCGGCAAGCATAGCCATCGACGGGAAGCAGCTCAAGCAGGTTGACGAGTTTAAAACTCTTAGTAGCACTATTACTGATGATCAGCGTTCAATCAAAGAAGTGAGGAGTCGGATCGCAGCAGCCTTGACTGCTGTTACACGACTAGTAACAATCTGGAGGAATAGAAACATCAGTATCGGCTCGAAATTACATATACTCAATGCTATTGTTCTATCCATATTCGTTTATGCTTGCCAGTCTTGGACCTTAACTGCTGAAATTGTGAAAAAGATCGAGGCTTTCGAAACGAGAAGCTATCGACGCCTTCTCAGCATTCCGTTCACTGATCACCGAACGAATGTGTCTGTTAGAGAGGAAATAAAAAGTATTCACAAACAAGTCCCACTTATTTTTTCTGTTCGTAAAAGGAAATTGCAATTTTTTGGTCATATTGTTCATTCCGGCTGTTTGTCATTGGCTGTTCTTCAGGGTTGTGTTGCTGGATGTCGTGCAGTCCCTGCTCGCTGCTCGCGATTGGTTTTTATGACGCTCGCTTGTTCATACTTGCTCTGTGACGCCCCGACGGCCTTAGGGCTATGGGCTTGTGATGATGATGATGATGTCGTGTTGCTGACGTTCACACGTCCATATTGGCACCCACCGTGTGTGAGCAGGACAGGGATGCACTCAGCGCAAAAAATTAACTTCAAATTGCACAAGTGTCTGTAAAATTTTACCCCGCTTCTAACTTTGCCCTGCCCTATGGTCACACAATGTCTCATCTGGATGCGTTTACTCGGGGGAAGTCTCTGGATACAATTATAGAGTATACAGGTCCTGGAGAAATCTCTCAGGATGAGTATACGCGTCACTGGGCTTCAAAGCTACAAGGGTTAATAAATGCACAATAGGTGATCAAAATAACATTAAACACATCGTTGAACCACATACTCACTTTGAATAGCCACCGACAGAATAGGATTGCTTTGTACAGAAACATTGGCGCCGAAACTTCCAAAACTGGCTACGATGCTTCTGCTGAGGTGTGTTTGAACAGTTCCATAGTGGTCTCCTTGCGTTTGAATCTCTCCTTGTGAGTTTGAAAAGATTTCAAGAGTTCGGCTAGTCTCACCTTGTGCTGAAGAGAGGAATGAGAAAGAAAGACAGGAATATAGACAAAACATCGTGTCGAGGTGAACTTAGAAAAAGATGAATGGGGGGGGGGGAGGGTGAATAGTGGGCAATTCCTGCCAAATTATCAGTCGCAACTACAGGTGTAACCTATAATTATTAGTATTATTATGCTTTGCTCCCTCTCCCCAATTCACCTATACAGCCTCAACTGCTTCTCTGTCTCTTAATTTCATCTGCTGACGGCTTCCCCTAACTTAACTTAACTTTTCTTCTGGTTCAAACTTTCCTCTCTGTGTCAGTATTGCCTGCTGGGTATTAAAGATATGGTACATCATACACTATACACTCTGTGTAGCTCAATATATCTATAATTGAACTTTTATTTGTATTGTTCATGGACATCTGCTGTGGCCCGCTAGAATGTTTCAATGAGCTTTAGACTAGTTAAGACAACAAATACATTCTCATGTCAATTTCATTTGTCCCTGGGAACCCTGAAGAGCCAAAATTAATGTGAACAATGCACAGACTAGAACATACTCATCGTAATGGCGACACGTGTGATCGATGTGAAGTTTGCCACATTGTTGACTGGAATCACCTGCATCCTTGCTGTTACTTCCATTGTTATTTCATCTCCAATCATGTGTCCCAGAACAAATTCTCCAACCACATGAAAGTCGAAGCTCTCCCCGCTGAGACTTACAAGATGCGGATCTCCGTAGCAGTAACCTGTGCAAAGGCACAGAAATACAGACCAAAAACAAGTTTAAGTTAAATGCTAAGTAGGTGATGTGTGTGGTGGATGTGGAATTTCTTTTCTCAACATACAATTTTTGTTTCGAAGCCCAAGGTCACTGCAAATAGCTGCTTTGACAGTAATAGCCAACTTCATCCAAGTTCCT